TAATAACAATGCTTTTAAAATTAACACATTTATTTAAACCTAATGTTGCAATAATCTTTTTCAATACTCAGTCGAGATTATTGTCTAACCAGGCTGGAAGCTGTTTAATTATCTATGTAATTTTTTTATAAAAAAATATTTCTATGTTATTTAAAAAAGGGAAAAGGTAGAAGTACCTCCCTAGACTATGACTCAAATCTCAGAGACATACTTTAACTAAACTAGGTCCTATTACCCCCCTGAACTCTTTTTTTTTTTTGTAATTTTGTATACCTTTTGGCTTATGTAGCACACCCCGTGACTCCACGCAGTTGAAAAGGTGTAAAAAATTACAAAAAAAAAAAAAAAAAGAGTTCAAGGGGTAATAGGACCTTAGTTTAGTTAAGGTATGTCTTTGAAATTTCGGTCATAGTCTAGAGGGTACTTGTGTCCTCTCCCTTTAAAGAAAAAAAAACTACTCCATAATGACATAGGAGGATCCAATAAGAGGGTTGTTGAGATCATAACAAGTACCTTAATTTTGTGCCTAGATCGATAACATACTTTGTTTATGGGTTTTCAACTAATATTTACTAGTTTTCCAATACAAATATAAGATTCAGTCAAAAATTAATGTGTTTCCAAAAAACTCTCACATAACTTCTGAACCATCTATGGTATGATAATATAATGTTATGGACATATTTAACTCCTGAATCCATCTTCGTTAGCAGGATATACAATGGTAATTCATGTAAGAATACGTTGTGTTATCAGTGATGAAATAAGAAGGTGTTTTATAATTTATAGTAGCATTTGGTGAAATCTTTTTATTTTTTATTATTAAATAATTTTGTAAAAAATAAAAAAATAAAGTACTATTAAGTGATGGATGAAATGATTACAAGAAGAATGTTTTGCGTCGCTCTCAGGCTCTGACTCTTAGGTCTCTAAAGAGGGCCCCAGTGTATCTGCACGCGCGCCAGCTGCGTGGACCCATCGTTGACTTGTTAATTAGACAAAGCCAAAAAGTCAAAATGCGTAAAATAGCATTTAATCGTGATTTGACGCCGCCGATTTTTGACTGATAGAACCGGTAACCGGTCTTCCTCCACCACCTGCCGCCTCACTCCGCCACTATACTCTCCCCACGAAACTTAATTTCTACCCTAACCATTAAAAAGAAAAAAGATTTATATTTTATTTTGAATTATTGGAATAGTAATATTTTATTTTAGTTGGATGTCTCTTGAAATAATTACTCCGTTAAAAAAAGAAGTAGGAATAAGGTTATACACATAACTATCTCTAAATTTTATTTGTGAAATTACATGGGACATATTATTGTTGTTGATTGGAGTAGTATTTTAGTTCTTTTTTTATTTTCCACCTGATGTTCAATCTACATTAAAATTTGACTATTTTGAATTCACGCTGCGTAGAATACCATTCGAAGAAAAACACTTTCTAGCAAAAACTTTTTCATACCCAGAACTCGAACCCAAAAACAATCTCATCCACTATATTAACCACACTAATATATTCTTCTGTGTTTCCCATTGTATGATTATGCCTTTTAGGTACATTTGCCACATGTGTATAAGAGATACTAAGATTGAGATACATAACATATCGGATATACTGAATTTAATTTGGCCTAATTATATAGTCGTACACTACATTATCACTTATGTGACAATCATCTGTTTTTGTTTTCTCTGAAAGAGACAATCATATTATGTTATTATAAGACTTCTTGTTTTAGGTTTGAAGCCAAAAGATTAAATAAACAAAGAATTTTTAAGTTATATATATAGTCAATATTTGAAATAAGAAACTTTGATCACAATAGCTTTTGTTCATTAAAAAATTATGAATATTTATCTTAATATTGAATCTAATTATCATTATATATTAACTTGAGATCGATATAAGATTAGAACGTAGAAATTTTAAATTTTAGATCCATCTCGAAAACGGGGTGTTCTTCTTATGGCTCCTAATGTACTAATACTTTCGAAGATAAATTTGGGACATGGCTACTCATAGAACAACAAAATGTAGTGAGTTGATGTGTCAGCACCGTGTTATTATTTAATTTGAACCAAATAAAAGGATATGATTATATACCTAGCTAGTAGTCCATACATGATAAATCTTCTTGGACACTCCTCCATTTACATTTACGTTTAAAGGATTCTCCTTTGTTGAGAACACAATATTATGATATTCAATTATTCATGATGATGGCAATTGGAAAGATATATACAAATGAATCTCTAACATGTTTAGTTTTGATGAGGTTTATGAATGTCATTATAATTATATTGATGATGAGCAATCACTCATTAATACGCGCATATTAGAGAAATATACTAAACTCTAAGGATGTGTTCGATATAAAAAAATAAGTTGATTTTTTACTTATTCTCTTGTATTTGGTATATAATTAAAAGATATTATTTTAATAATATTTGTATATAATTTAGATAAATACAGTATGGAGGGGAAGGGGTGAAGATGGGTGTGGGGTGTTGAATGTACTTATGGTGCTTGTTTTCCTAGATAATATATTTTTAAAAATCTTTAATCAGTCAAACATGAAAAAATTGAAAACATTTCATAATGAATACACCCTAAGTTGTAACCATCAAATTAAATGTTTGGATGAAATATAATGTATAAGATCTCTCGTTTGTTAATCAAAAGATTTGAATTTGAACCCTGTGAATAAAAATAAAAAAACTTGTAGAGGGCTCTACCTTGCACAATACGAATTCATATTAATCTAGATCCAAAAATATGATCCAAAGTAAATATCAAATATCAGATGAAAAAAAAAATACAAAACAAAAAGTAGGTGATGCCTAAGATTCACTCATTCACCTACCAAGCTTTCAAAAGCTAAATAGAGTACCCTCCGTCATTGAGGATATATAATTAAGAGCCTAAATGTCCTTTATAATTCCCTTACTTTATGTAAGCTTGTTTTCATTTTAATATATATGTGTTCAAAAATAAAAAAAATTATTCTAAATTTAAAATGATTTAACTTTAATACCCTTAGATTTCTACCGTAGCTCAAATTCAAGTTGCTAGAGAAATGACATGATGGACGGTCTTAGGAGGTTATATTTGATGCTAAATTCATTGCAACTACCTTTAAGATTCAGAGAACATAATTTAGATGATGGCTTTTGTGAACTAAAATTTGTGGCAAAAGATATTTGAAGACATTGACTTCCACTCCTAACTCAAAAAATGAAAAATAAATAAAATAGAATAAAAAATCTAGTCCTTTTCTAGAACAATTGTAACTTTATTAATTTATCCCCCTTTTGTTTTGCTTAAAAAATAATTTTGTCCACATCCACGTTCAAAAAAAAAATTATGATGTGACTTAATAAGAGAATATAATGAGCGTTTCCATGAGCTTTATGTAACGATAACACAACATATCAAGTATATATAATCTTACGATTTACAATAAGAATTTGAAGAAAATAATACATTATATACGCTATCTTATAGTTATAAAGATAAATAAGAAGAAACAATGTTATTTTAAATTGATCCTCTATTCAAATTGTTAGTTCATGAATTGTGTAATTAATAATTTTTATAAATTATACACATCGGCCAAAGATTATAGTGGTGTGTGACGTGTACGCTTTTGTCTATTACTATCAATGGTATATTGACTCGACAGAGTATGAGAAAGCTTATTTGGCATTGTTAGCTTTTTTGAAGCAAATGTATAACCCTCAAATTGAAAATAATTTAAAGTCAAAAGTTAAAGTGGGAGTAATAAAAACATTAGTGCTGCTGACTATAAAAGATAATACTAAAAAATTAAAACCATAAACAATTTATTCTTCAAAGTTACGAGTGATAAAATTAGCTCATAAAAATACGATTCGTCCAATTCGCCCATATTTGAGTTGGTAAATGAACTCATCCCATTTCACCCAAAACCAATTTCAGCCCATAAAATTTGAGCTAATATGTAGCTCAAATTAATCCATAGGAAATCTTATTAAAATATCTTTTTATTATTTTGATATTTCATATAGTGTCATAGTAATACGAAAAAACAAAAGTTTTATTAGGTACTACTTTTAAAAATATACAAGAAATTAAAATTTTATACTCCCTTTGCTCATATTTATATGTCACCATTTTGGATTTCAAGTGCACTAAAAAACTAAGCAAGTTTACTATTCTATCCTTATTTAACTTTTTGAACCTCAAGTTTTCAATCAATGAATATGAATTGATTTTTTTTTGATTAATTAATTTAACCAATGAACATGAATCATTTACTTAGCTTTTCTAAATTGATCAAATATATATTTTCAAGGCTAATAACTCACAAGGGTAAAAAAAGGAACAATATGGTAATTTATGCATTGATTTTATGAAATGACAAATATTATTAACCAACTATTTATAGAAAGGGATGACATATAAAAAGGAATGGAGATAGTAAAAATTAAGTAGGTTGAATCATGACTCACTTTTTAGTCAATTTCAACACAGCTCATTTCAAACCAAGTAATTTTAGGACAGATGAATAATCTGTTAATTTATTAACTCATCCTATTTTAACATGACAAAATTAAGCCAAATTCACCTATTTAACACTCTTACCTAAAACCAAACAAATTAAATAAATTCCGTTTGGCTAAGCATGAAATTAAATTTTGATTTCTAAAAAGGTGTGTAACCCTTTCATTTGTCTAATCAGTCACAAAAAAGTCAACCAATATATTGTGGTCATTTTTGAATTTCATTAAACTAGGGGTACTATAAATAGTCATATGCAGCGAAACGAAGTCATTTCATTTTTCTGTTTAATTTTCTTTTCCAATTAAAAAAAAAACACACAAGAACCAAAACCAAAGCAATTTCCAGAATAAGAATCTATCTCTACTTGAAATATATTTGGTCAAGTTGGAACATATTAAAAAAAAATATCTCTTCTTTGTTTTTCTTCCTTTTATTTTTTTTCGATAGAAAATCGCGATGGCGGAAGAATTTCAGCTAGGTAGAGGAAATTGGTGGGAATCATCAACTTCAGCTTCATCAACAACAACATCATCGTCTAGAAATAAGTTTATCGATAGCGGAATTTCATCATGTACAACGCCTTCAGCATCGAGTACAACCGGTCTAAGCAGCATGGCAAGTAACTTTGTTAATTGGCCGACAGAAATTCATGAGGATATTAAAGTTAGATCCGAAAATAGTTCTATGGTTTTTTCGGGCTCTGATTCCCATAAACGTTACGCCTCCGAATCTTCTGTTGGTGGTGGAGGAGGAGGAGGAGGTGGAGGCGTGGGGCAAGGCGTTTTATCTGTTGATGATCCTAATTTACAAATGATGGGGTTAGGTTTATCTTCTCAAGGACTTGATTGGAATCAACCTTTCTTGTAAGTAGTATAATTATTTTCGTAAAGTTAATGTTTTTTGTTGGTTGGTTTCATTATCATAAAATCGAAGCCAAAATTAGCTTTGATTTTAAGATGTAGAACTTAATTATATCGAATCATCATATGATATAGCTATTAGAATTGGGTATATGATTTAAATTTGATAAGTTCGGTCTAAAAAATTAGTGATACTCGATCGAACTCATATTCTACATATTTTTGTGTTCCGACCATAGGAGGCGATGAACCCCTTTGTTGAAAAATTGAACTGTATATCTATATATATACGTTTAATTATTTTTTTTGAAATATATATATAGTATATGTTGAATCCTCTTGATTACTGATACAATTTTTATTTTTTTCTTCAGTCGGAGTGAAAAATCCGGGAGTGGTTTCCGTTCGTTAATTCAAGAAGGGTTGAGTTCAAATGCAAATTATCAACAAGAAGGAACATGTCATGAACAAGATCATAATAATTGGAGTACGCAAAAAATATATCATGGGAATTCTGATGATTCTTCAGTAAATGATTATAATAAACAATTATTTAGTGGTCATAATAATAATCTTGAAAATTCAGCAGTACCTTATGGAAGTCCATCAAATATGTTACAAGGGTTATTAATTTCTGACCTTAATAGTCAACAACAAGAATCAAATAATTTTTCAAGTGTTAGTAGATCTTTATATTATAATCCTTCATATAATAACCAACCAAATTGTGATGTCAGTATTCCTACTTCTTCTTCACCTTCTTCTTGGTCTAAATTTCCTCAATTTCTCCGAACATCGGATCCTTCAAAAGTAGTACAACAATGGTCACTCTCACAGCCGCCACCACTATCTCATAGTCAGTTGTCACATTTCTCCGGTGGCACGCCTTTTTGGAATGCCACATCAGCAGCCGCGGAGGACGTCCGATCGGGTTTCGTCCCTCAGCTCCCCACGAACCCAACGGTTGATGAGAAACCAAAGGTAATTGAATTAATTTTTACTTTCTTTTCGCATTATTTTATGTTATTGTGTTTGATTAAATTCGATACCTAAGAAAAGAATAATGATTCTTGTCATGTCCTAATATTTCGTAGAGATAAAACATGCAAAAAAAAAAAGTAATTTTTTTTTTTTAAATTAAGAGTTCTCTTAAATCTAGAATTGTTCATTCTTTTTGTATTAGACTAAAAAAAGTAAAAAATGTCATACAAAATGAAATAGAAGGAATGCACTACTTGAGTTTCAATTTATGTGATACTGTTTCACTAAGCAAGGATTTTAATTTGAAAGAAATGAGATTTTTAAAAACTAAACAAGCCTTAATTAGACACTTGAAAGTAATCTAATTGTGGAAAAATGGAAACTCTAAGGTTATAAAATGGTTCCAAATATAAAAAGGTATAGTAACATTTTCTTAGGAACAGACTATAAAAGAAAGTGTATCATATAAACAACCATCGAAAAAACAATAATTAAAACTCAATTATTATTTTTTTTTGCTTATGTGTGGGTTTTGATTTTCTCAATATTGGTGCATTTTATGCAACAGCACACGGGTGAAGTTAGGAATATAAGCACAATAACAAAGAAAAATAGCAGTGAAACACCAAATAAGAGACCAAGGAATGAAGCACCGTCTCCATTGCCAGCTTTTAAGGTATTTGAATTAAGTTAATTAATTAATTAATTAAGGACCAAATGGGACATTTTGTTTATTCGATCAGAATTATAATTATGAGAATATGTTTCTTTGTTCTTGATATTTTTATTTATTTTTAGGTGAGGAAAGAGAAAATGGGAGACAGAATCACTGCACTTCAACAATTAGTCTCACCTTTTGGAAAGGTACATATATAATTACAAAATTGCGCCCTCAATATTTTTTTTCATTTTCACTTTAATAGAAAGGGTTATATGAGCTCTTTTGGATTTAAATGGAAAGTATTTGATAAATTTTAGTGTTAAAATTGATTTTATGAATAAGCATTTATATATGTATAGATAGAAGTGTGAAAAAAATATTTTGAAAATAGAGAGAAAATATTATGGATATAATCGAAAAATACCTATTCAAACTAAAAGTGTTTATATAAGTTTAAAAGCAATAAGTTAGGGATTATTTTAGACTTTTGTTTGATGTTGGATTATAAGCACTCTAAATGCTTTATTTTTTAAAAAATAAAAATTTAAGCTAGTTTGATCAACTTATAAGCTTACCGGCCTAAATATTATTTATAAGACTATATCATCAAAGCTCATCATCCTAATCTCGACTGCCTTAATCCTATCCTATCATCTGTATAATGAAATTTATCATTGACGATTTTTTTGGGATTTTTCTTTCTCCTCTATATATATCCAGAGACTTGTGATTAATTTTCTGAAAATACAAAAAAGACATTTTATTCATTGATTAGATTTCTATTTTTTCTTTTAATTTCCACAGACTGATACAGCTTCTGTGCTATCGGAAGCAATCGAGTATATAAAGTTCCTCCATGACCAAGTTAATGTAAGTTAGTTTGTTAATTAATTATTTAATTAGAGCCCTTAATTATTTTTTTTATAAATTTTGTATCGCCAATTAATTAAATAATCCATAAGGAAAAATTCAATAAAATTGGAGTAAAAGAAAATATTGCATGTTATATAGTGAATTAACGACTTCTTGGGCATTAATTAATTCCTTTTTTTTTCGTGTCACATAACAGGTATTAAGCACCCCATACATGAAAAGTGGGGCTTCCATACAACATCAACAGGTAAAATTACTATTTAATTTTTCAGTCTAGCTTAATACCAACATTATTAATGTTGTATATTTTATTTTAACACATAAAATTATCATGTATATACGTAATACTTCATAAAAAGTGAATTCAAAATCTTGAAAATAAGACGTGTTACCTATTATACTTAGTAAGAACATGTGCATTATATTTTATTTGTGCAATGTCGATGTATAAATACTGATCGTGTAAAAATAAAATCCGTTAGCCATTTACTTTTACTTGTTATAACATGTCTTATTTTCCAGGTTCCTGATAATGACCTCATATATAATGAAATCTATAGTTATTTTTTTTACGTAATCTAATAGTGTAAAAATTATTCGATATATTGTGTAGAGTACCGGTGATAAATCCAATGTAAATCCAGAAGGAGGAAAACAAGATCTTAGAAGTCGAGGATTATGCTTGGTCCCAGTGTCTAGTACCTTTCCAGTAACTCACGAAACAGCAGTTGATTTTTGGACTCCCACCTTTGGAGGAACATTCAGATAATCAAAGACAAAGCATATTATAGTTGTATGAGTTTAAGTTATATACATCGTCAGTATAAAGAATTTTTTATACTATCAGGTCATTTTTATTTGTTATAGCAGATAATTTGTCTTGTTTTTTTCAAAATTACAAATGTAAGGACGTACGCTTACCATGTAGGTATCTTTTGAATCATGACCTGATAGTGTAAATGATTCTTTATGTATACTGACGATGTATAAAACTTAAAAATTTTTGTTATCAAACCCTAGAAAAGTGGGGGATGAAATGAATAAAAAAGAGGGAAAAAAAGAAATTATTTAGTATTATTCCAGGTCCATAGCAGGCTGATGATGATGGAAAAAAGAAAAAGAAAGAAAAAAGAATGATAAAAGAGAGGGAAAAAGAAAGGACCAGCTCAGGCAAAATGATGCAACTTTGGCCAATATTTTTGGACCACTATGTCTATATGTGAGTATGCAGGGGTATATTGTGGTGCAGTGATGGGACTGCTTCGTCTTTAATCAGAGGTCTCAGATTCGAGCCTTGATATGGAGAAACTCTTGTTGGGAGCACCCCCCCAAATTGGCCCTGCAGTGCACGATCCGAATTTAGTTAAACTCTAATACGAATTTTGAACACCAGATGGGAAACAAAAAAAACGTTAGAGGTATGAAAAAAGATTATTATTATTATTTTTGGCTTAATAATGCTAGTTATTAGTTTACAAAAAGGAATTTTGTTTGTAGCTAAATTTAGTTGAAATGAGGGATAAAAGGAGCTTTTAAAACTAGCTGTTTGTATCTATTATTTGTGCATATATATAGCTGGCACTAGTTTACTTTAATTTAAAACAAAAGAAATGAGAGGAATAATTGACGTTTCAATGTGAAAGATATATAGATTATTTGATTGGAAATATAACTTTTCATTTGTTTATATGTGTCTGGAATAAGTTAGTGGAACTTTTTAGTGAGTTTCCACTTTTTTTGTTTTCTATTTTACTATATTGATGAATGAGTAATGGAGGGATGTAGGTGAAGGAACCATATATATATATATATATATATATATATATATATATATATATATATATATATATATATGCTTCTGTTTTTATAATCACATGTGAGATTACACTGAGTATATTGTGTTTTTTTTCAAACGATTACGATAACTGCTTCAACTTGAGGGAAAAGAGAAGTTAGAATGATGAAATCGTTCCGCCTTTATTATCAGAAGTTTCAAGATTGATTTTTGACATGAAGAAAATCTTTATCAAGAGTATTTCACCTTAAATAATGAGTCATATATATGCATGACATGAATCTAAAGTAGGCGAGCTTGTGAATTTTGAAAACCATAAGATTTAACAAAAAGAAAAGAAGAACTCAATTCCTCATTCCCCTTCTCCTTTAACTCTTATTTAAAGAATGAAAATAGAAAGAAAAAAAAAATAGGGAGAAAGTCATAAAAATCAATCTAGAACTAGAGGAAGAAAATGCAAGATCTAACTTTTTTCTATTAAACTGTGTGTCTAGCTAAATATCACAATATAATAGCGAAAGAGGGAGAACTAGATGTATGCATTTTTGATCGCAAAAAACAATATCTATATAGAATTTAGAAAGACTAAAACAAAAAATGAAAGAATATATAGGAAAATAACACATATGTTAAATAGGTTTTACTTGGTGATTATCATAATTAGTTACTTAGACTTGATAATGTACTGTAATTTTAACCTAGCTAACACTAGCATATTCACAACCTTGGTGATATATAGATTATAGGCTGCTTTTAGCATTGTCATGATGTACTTTGGAATTATCTATATGAAAAAATGTTTAGGCAAACATTATTAGCTTTACTTAGAAGCTTAATAAACACAAAAAGATAGCATCTATGCAATCATCATAATCATTGTGCTTTTGTGAAGTGACAATTTTCATATTCTTATGTATTAATCCAAATTCTCTGTTTTACTTTTATTTTCCAGTGTAAATTTTTCTTTCTTTTTAATCTTAGATAAATATTATTGTATCTTGTCATGTAGATGCTTGTTCTCTTGTTCCTCTCCAAAAAGCATGGCTCTAAAGGTACATGGCATAAATTCCATCCAATTACGTACCACAAGTCCACCTAGAATAAAAGAACATAATCAAATTCATATATCAAAAACTATGCTAAATTTTGTCATGTTATGTAATTGATAAAAAAAAAAGTCCTACATATATGTTTTTTTTTATTTCTCTAGTAACTTATGGATTTTTTCAATTTTAGATCACATCTAAAGAATCCTTTTAAAGCAAAACCAAAAATTGAGAAAACGCTAGACAACGACAATAATATATAAATACAGTGAAATTTCACACAGAGGAATCTGAGGAAAACATGTGTTAGGTGTAAACAGACTTTTACTCATACCATGGAGATAGACACCCTAGACTCAAGGATGAGAAAATGATAAATTAAAGAATGGTCTAAAATTTTGTAGAAGTTAGACGTCAGTCTAATATTTTGTCAATCTCCAACATTTTTATTTTAAAATAGGGATGTTCGACCTCAGTTTGTACTTGGAAATTCTTCTTTAATTAAATTTCCTACCAAATTAAGAGCATAAATTCTTGTTGAAGTTTAATTTTTTGTTAAAGAATAAAAGAGTGCTCCACTGCATTGTTTGAGCAAAGTCAAAATGTAATTATATATGTCTATGCAGAAAGTATAGTAAATTAATAGCGATATACGGTGTTTCTATCGTGTAAGCAAAGACATAAGCAAAGGATCATTACTTTAATGAGGCTTAATTAAGCACCTAATTAAGCTAGTAAGATGCCACTAACCTGATTTTTTAGCATAATATTAAAATATCAACCTACATATGCGCAACTTAGCTATCATTAATATTCTGAATTTATAATTTTAGCCAATTGAATATTCATTTATTTTGATTTCCCACTTGATATTCATTACCCTCATTAGAGTCCGATTACATTCAGATTCATGTATTGCAGAACTCAATCTATAGACGATACTACCGACACATTTTTTTTTCATTCGCAAGGTGCAAATCCAAAATGGCTCATTATAAATGGCGAAATTCCAAACATCCCATGACAATCAAGGTTTGGTTAAGAGAATATTCATTATTCAAGAGGAATAATGTGCAAGTTGGACCGTTAGTTTTTTAAATATTGAAAATAGACTAATAAAAACACAAAGGAATAAAGAGTTCCTCAATGGCTAAAGATTTGTGGCCTCTTAATAAAGCACATAATCTTAGATAGAAAATTGAAAAGTTTAGTGCAAACATTTAGGGTGCATTCGCATGAGGAAACTATATTTTTTTCATGATATATAAGCAGGGGCGGATCTATGAAGGGGTGTGGGGGTGCCACGCCACCCCCAAATTTCGACGGAAATTCTATATATACATAGGTATATATATATAATATTTATATAAATATAAAGCGTGCCACCCAGAGAACAAAACTAGCTTGTGGTGCCACGGTAGGAGCGCAACTTTAGAAGGCTGATGTTGCGGGTATGAATCCCATTTTTACCTATTTTTTTTGAGAAATTTGCGGTAGACATTTTTTAAGAAAAAATAAATGCTCCAAGCACGTTTTTTAAAGGAAAAACAGCTGGCACATTATTTATTTTTTTTATAATTGTTATTGACTTGAATTAAATTAATTACATTATTACTCCTTTGACTTTTCACTTGCTTATTTACTTGTAAAGTTGACTTTGATTTTACCTGTTGCTAGGGCTGGCAAGGGGACTGGGGGACGGGACGGGACGGAGGACGGTGCTCGAGGGATTTGGCCGGGACCGGGATTGGGGGGACAAAAATAAGTCCCATCCCATCCCACTATATATACGGGATGGGACGGGTTTTGGGGGGACGGGACGGGACGAGACGGGGGATTTTTTATTTTTTATATACTTATTTATTTGTATTGAAATTATATGTTATTGAATAACATTTTTAGTTTATTTGATTTTTTTTCAATAACATTTTTAGCTAATAAATAATGCTTAAGTTTTCAAATTTCAAAATTCAAAATTCAAATTTCAATTTCAAACTTCAAATTTCCAATTTCAAATTTCAAATTCAACTTCCAAATTTCAAACTTCAATTTCAATTTTCAATTTTCAATTTTCAAATTTCAAATTTGAGAAGTTCAAATTTGTATTTTAAATATTTTAAAGTAATTTAAACTTGAAATTTTGATTTTTAAATTAAGTATTTTAAAGTTAGTTTAGTATATATGTAAATATGTATGAATATATTAAAATTAAAATGCAAGACAATAGTTATATAAAAAAGACTTAATAAAGCCTTCAAATTTATTCAATAAAATCTAATTGCAACTTAGAACTTAGAAGTTAAAATTTACAAATATTAGTGGAGTAACTAATCTACGCAGCCACCTTCTAGGAAGGGTTCTGTTTCAATAAGTTCTCATATGTAAAACTAATATTTGTTACAAATATTAGATGAGTAACTAATTTACGCAGCCACCTTCTAGGAAGGGTTCTATTTCAATTAGTTCTCTGATGTAATCTAATATTTGTATTCTCCTTTAAAATTTAATTCTAATTGTCGCATCATATCGACGGTAACATCCTCCGGTGTTGGCAAACTTGCTAGAAACTCTTGTAACTCTAATTCATCATCACTAGATCCAATTACCGCATTAATCCAAGCTTCTTGTTTGGAACTTAACTTTGGCAAATTATAATTTCTCCTCTCGGCGTTGACCCAATCTCTAAATAAAACTGATATTTCCAAACTATCTTCCGCCAATGAATGTCTATGATCGCCAAGTTGAAACCTTGCCGCACTAAAAGCAGCCTCTGATGAAGCTTAAATAGCTAGAACATCACGAACCATTTTGCTCAAAATTGGAAATGCAACGCTCCGCCTCCTCCACCATGCTAATAATTCTTCATTGCCATCTTCGTCTTTCACTGTTTCTAAAGATTGATTAAGATATTCTTCAAAATCATCACGGTTAGTAGAATTAAGACCAAGAAA